CCTGTTTTGTTTCTATATTAAATAGGAATATGGATAATTTAGAGCGTGCTTGGATGTACGAGATGTTGGATGGCCGAGGGGGTATTAATTCTAATTTTGTAACTGGCGTAGATAGCTTTCTCCTGTTTGCACGTTCTCAGCGAAATCGCATGAGTGGTGATAATGTTCGATGTCCATGTAAAAAATGTCGCAACATTATATACATGGATGTTGAAACAGTTAGATTTCACCTTTTTAAGTTTAGATTTGTTGAAAACTATTCTATTTGGAAGTATCGAGGGGAAAAAGATGTGACTGGTGTGACGTCTTCTAGCAGTGATCTACATGGTGGTGTTCAACCTGCATTAGGATATGACAATCCATACCGACAAATGATTTTAGATGCAGTTGGACCCAACTTTGGCCAGGGTTCTAGTTGGCAATCTTATAGTAATACTGAAGTTGAGTCGTCTCATCATTTTGAGCCTTCAATAGAGGACGAGTCTAATCCTTCAATGGGGGAGGATCCTAATCCTGAGTCTCAAAGGTTTTATGATTTGCTAAAGGCCGCTGATACAGAATTGTATCCTGGTTCTTCCCACTCTCAACTCGCAGTAGTTTCTAGGATGCTAAATATTAAAATGGAGAACACTTTATCACAAAGGGGATATGACCAAATGATGCAATTGCTGAAAGAGGCTTTACCTGAAGATAACATAATGCTTGAAAGTTATTATCAAACTAAGAAGCTAGTGCATAGCTTGGGTTTGCCGGTTGAAAAGATTGATTGTTGTAATTCAGGATGTATGTTGCATTGGGGTGACGATGAAGGCCTCACATTTTGCAAGTTTTGTGGCTACGAGAGGTTTAAACGTCGCGTTGGTTCTCGTAAGAGGAAATTAGTCCCTTATAAAAGGATGTATTATTTTCCTTTGATTCCTAGATTGCGAAGATTATATGCATCTTATGCTACCGTCGGTGACATGAGATGGCATCATGAGGATATATAAGAGGAGGGGGTAATGCGTCACCCATCAGACTTTGAGGCTTGGAAGCACTTCAATGAAACTCATCCATTTTTTGCTGCTGAACCAAGGAATGTGAGGCTGGGGTTATGTACTGATAGTTTCCAACCATTTGTTCAATCAGTAAGAAAATACTCTTCGTGGCCGGTGATTGTCACTCCATACAACTTACCTCCTTGGATGTGTCTGAAAGAGGCGTACATGTTCTTAACTGTCATTGTTCCAGGGCCAACCAATCCTAAACAAAAAATTGATATTTTTCTACAACNATAATGTGGACCAGAATGATAATGGTGGTGTTGTAGAAGATCATAAAGGAAATTTATCAATATTTACACATCTGGGTCGACTATGGGAGAAGCAAAAAAGAGGAGTTTATCCTTGGAAGAAATCAAGGCTGCCCAAACTTACATTCTACTAAATTGTAAAGAGGTTGAGCCATTTGTAAGGTAACATTTGAAAGTTATACTTTCTTAATATAACAAATATTCATATATCAGAAGCACTAATTTTAACTTATTTTGTTGCAATGAAGTATGTACATGGAATGTTTACAAGAAGAATATCCGAATTTATCTCAGGATCAAATAGAAGAGAATCTCGAAACATATTTCTCTATATGGTTCAAGCAATATGTAAGCCTACAACAATAATTTACTTTTATATAATAATGTACATAAATTGACTTGTTAAATTTAACTAAGTCTCACAATTTTTTTAATAGGTTCAAAGCAACCATATAGAGAATACATTCTTGCGTAGCCTTGCTCATGGACCATTGACAAGCACGATATGTCATTCAGTGTATTTTGTTAATGGATATAAATTTCACACAGAAAGTCATAGTAGCGCAAGATCAACAATGAACAGTGGAGTTTGTATATCGGATCCAAATGTTGGTGACTACTATGGTCGGATACAAGAGATTATACAAGTAGAATATCGTGAAGAACCTTTAAAGAATACTGTATTATTCAAGTGTGAATGGTTTGACCCAACGATGAATGTTAGTGTTAAAAAGCATAATCAATACAAACAAAATTCTGCTATTCGTGCAAATATGCCCATGTTGTCCAGCCAAAGGCCTAATGCCCTAATCCTATTCTCTTTTGGTTTCCATTCCTATTCGGAATTGGATTCGATTTTTGTTCCTATTTAGAGTTGGTTTTGGCTTTAAAAGAAAGCACCACTCATGATCTATAAATAGGACAACCTTGAAGAATTATTCTATGCTCATTGATACAAGTCTTTGAAAGACTTAAGCACATAATAGTGGTTTTTGAGAGAGCTTTCATCAAGAGAGAAGAGAGAAGAAAAGTATTTGTTTTGCTGCAGATTTTTATTTCGACTAGCCAACTTCAAATCACTTTTTCTTATTAGTTAACCGTTGGATCGGGCTGAAATTTTGACTGAGTGTTCGTAAATCTTGGTGTTTGATTTGAACGGTGGAGATCGGATTTGGAGGCTCGTAGCATCTGATTTCGAGCCTCGAACAATAGCTTTGTTTTTGTGGAGTCTCCTCTTTCTTCAATTGATTTGTTGTTGCTCTTGCTGCTATTGTTGCTCCGTTTGTGTAGTCAATTTGGAGAACCTTTGTAACCCTCTTATTGTTATAGTAGAGCTTTTTGGATCTTTGTGATCCCGTACGTGATTTTTACCTTCGACTTGAAGGATTTTCCACGTTAAAATTTGGTGTTCTTTACTTTCTTTATTTTCGGGTTTGCCTCTTTCTCGACATAACAATAAGAATTGTTATGAAGAGCTATCTGCGCGAAAAATTTAGAAAAAAAGCAGCGAAAAAAACTAAAACTCATAGCTAAACGCCCTTCTGTATGATTTTTCAGTATCACAAGTTGTCTCAATTGCTTTGCTAGAGCCTCTCACCAGTCTAAAACTCATAGATGAATCTAGTTCACAAGACATTCGTCGATTTGGCACAAATTTTAACTGTATTTTTCCCGAGGTTTAAACTATTTATCGAACTTTTTTATGGTTCTAAACTGTACACGAAGTCTTAAACAATCCAAGAAACTTGGAATCCTCAGTTCGCATACAATTAGTTGACAATTGGACGGTGCAAAAACGTTTGAAACAAGTAGGAGTACATAAATGTCTTTTTGTTTCATATTTAATGCATGTAAGTAGGGAGAAATGAAATTTCAGCCGTTGATAATAGTAGTAGGTTTGATATATGAAGCTTCTAAGGGCTTTCGAGAATTGAATTGCTTGTCAATTCCACTGTATTTCAGAAATGAAACTCGTTTAGAAATACTTCTCATTATTGCTTGATTTAGTGCTAGCGCATCTAGAACATGCCCTAAAAATTTTCAGAAATTCAATCTAGTTCACATTTTAAACAGCATTATCAAAGGCGAAAAGAGCAAAAAAGTTCTAAGGTTTGTTGGGACTTTAAGGGCGAGCACAATTAATGCATGAACTTTAATGAAGAATGACGCCAATAGGGAAAAAAACTACAAAAATATGTATGTTGTCCAAGATTAATATCTATAAGCATGAATATCAAATATATGGACAAGGAAATTGAAGAAAATTTACGATAAAGTGAAATATCAATCAGCATGTATTAATATACACGAAAAAGTAGATATAACCATAAAAATATATGTTGCATGACCGCGAAACGCCATAAAATGAGCCCGAAAGTCATGGTAATATCTGTGGACGTATAAAAATTCAGACTAGTCGGAGTATTGGTCCCTATGTTGTTTCCTTGGCTTACTATAGTACTATAATAGAATTAATAAACAAGGGTTTTGCTAACTTATTTATATGAAGACAGTAGATTATCATTGTACCTATTGTGTATTGACAATATGTCATTAAAGGCATTTAATATAGAATTTCGTTTAAATGTTTCACTTAACGACCTCTCCGCCTATAAAACTGCAAAAGAACAGAAAGCAAACCTCCGACATAACAAGGAGCATGTTTGGGTTAGATGATTGTAGATAGCTAAAAATATTAACTGTTAGTAAGCTCTTTCTCGTGCTGAAATTGACTTAATAAAAAAGCAATTATGTATTAAGAAAGTGATGATAAGCAATTGATGTGTTTGGTAAAAGAGGAATTCGGAACTTAAATGTGGTTCTTTTTTACTCAAAATACGTTTTTAAGTGTAAAAAAAAAAGTTACGTTTCTACATAAAACGTTGTACTGTACCGCGTTTTACCTTAACAGTTGTTTGAGCCGTTAAGGTAAAACGCGGTTCCTAACAGCGATATATATAAAACGTGGTACATTATAGCGTTTTATATATATCGCGGTTAGGAACCACGTGTTACATGTTAAGTTGGCCCACCAATAATTGTTCTGCGCTTAACTGACATAACAATAATTCAAATATGTAAAATGCTTTTTTAAACCGCATTTTACTTCAAAAAATTTGACCCCCGGAATTGGGCATTGCCTTATATAAATGAGTTAAGGGTTATGAGAATTATCATTCAGAAATACTCCAACTTCTTTATAAATTTTTCTTGTTGTTAAATTCTCAAGGTTGCGAAAAGTAAGGGTTTCATTATATTG